GACGTTTCCCGGAGCCCCGCTTCTGGTGGCCGGGGGTGCTCGGCACCCTGGGAGGGAGCAGAAAAAAGGGGGGCTGCGTGTGCAGTGCGCCAGCCACCCCGGAAACTTGCGTCTTCCACACCTTGGAAGGGGTTGGAGGAACTTGATTCTGGATGGTTCTTTCCTTTTCTGTTTGGAACCGCGTCCGTGTAGCCGTCACTTTCTGGGGACGCCCACGGCGGAACCCCGCTAACGCCGCGCTGCCCCGCGCCCCGAGCAACACGCGCAGCCCAGACCCAAACACCGCGGCGACCCGGGCCGTCCCCAAAATGAAGATCACTTGAAACTTCTAGACGCCAGACCCCCCCCCCAAAAATAAGGTCCCAAGCCAGGGCGCACAACGCCCCCCTCATCTGCCCTCGCGTGGGCCAAGACGGGCACGCGTGGCTGGCCACAGCGAGAGGGGCCAAGCCAGAGGCTGGAGTTCATCTGGGAGGTGGGGGGGCGGCCGGGCCCGGACCCGAAGGGACACACACACACACACACACACACACACACCCTCTACCGGGAAGCGGGTGCCAGCCGCACCGCGGCCACCGCGATGCGCCCCGGGACGCCCGGGGAAGTCTCCTCCACGCGCTGGGGAAGTGACTGGGAACCCGCGCCCTGTCAGCGTGGCGGCTGCTTGGTTGTTTGCTTGTTGGTTGTTTGCTTGTTTGTTGGGTTTTGGTTGTTGTTTGGTTGGTTGTTTGTTGGTTGGGTGGGTGGGTGGGTTGTTGGTTGTTGGGCCCCAGGTTGGGCATGGCCTTGGCCTTGGTCCCCTGGCCCAGCACTGTGGGTCGGGGCCCCCGTTTCTCATGCAGAATCATGCATGGCTTTTCCAGCCAAGGGGGTTTACACACATCTGTACACCCATGTACGCACGTCTACACACATGTGTACACTCGTGTACACACGTCTATACACATCTGTACACTCATGTACACACGTCTATACACATCTATACACCCATGTACACACGTCTATACACATCTATACACTCATGTACGCACGTCTATACACATCTATACACTCATGTACGCACGTCTATACACATCTATACACTCATGTACGCACGTCTATACACTCATGTACACTCATGTACACACGTCTACACACATCTATATACTCATGTACGCACGTCTATACACGTCTATACACTCATGTACACACGTCTACACACATCTATACACTCATGTACGCACGTCTATACACTCATGTACGCACGTCTATACACGTCTATACACTCATGTACGCACGTCTATACACATCTATACACTCATGTACACACGTCTATACACATCTATACACTCATGTACGCACGTCTACAAACGTCTATACACCCATATACACACGTCTATACACGTCTATACACCCATGCATACACATCTACACACATCTATACAGCCATGTACGCACGTCTATACACGTCTATACACCCATGTACACACGTCTATACACCCGTGTACACACATCTGTACAGCCACGTACGCACGTCTATACAGTCATGTACGCACGTCTATACACATCCACACAGCCATGTACACACATGTACACAATGTATCTCTTTACCCTGCATCTACTTGTAGTGAGTGCATTTATAATAATCACGGGGAACGCTGATCTTGTCTTCAACGCGCGCTGCACACCAGCGGATGCTGTGATCCTGAGTGCAAATCCGCGTGTTATTCTTTAAAATAATGTGTGTGTGTGTGCGTGCGCGCACCCAAGTCGCCGGAGCCTTGCATCTAATGTTCCCGTTCCCCTCTCCCTCTCCCTCTGTCTCTCTCTCTCCCCCCCCCTCTCCCTCTCTCCCTCTCCCCCCCCTCTGCTGAGACTTCCTCCTGCCGCCCATTGTCTGAGACAGCAGATATAAGTGGCGATGGGCGCGGGGCGCCGTGTGCGCCGCGCGCCCGCATTTTCAATTATAGATGGCTCATTACGGGGCGCGCAGGCCGGGAGACGCGGGCGGGCGCGGTTCACATGAATGCACTCGCCGCGGAGCGAGCCGGGCGCAGCCATGCTCTGGAAGCTGGTGGAGAACGTCAAGTACGAGGACATCTACGAGGTGAGCGCGGGGCCCGCGCCGGCCCGCGCGGGCGCACCGACCCACGGACGCGCGCTCGGACGCACGGACGGACGCACGGACGGACGGTCGGACGAGCCGGTTAGGCGCCCGACTGGCAGACCGCGGTCTCCTCCGCCCGGGGCCCCCGGGGCTGCGGCCGACTGGGGAGGCCCGCGAACCTCCGAGCGGCTATTTTGCGCCTCTTTCCCCGTCTCCCTCCCCGCGCGCGCCCCGACGG